TAAGTATGATCCCCAATCAGGGACAACGATAGACAGCTGCCTCTGATTGGGAACCACACCCGGCCAACATAGAACTAGATAAACTAGAATCTACACATAGATATTCACACCCTGACCAAACCAACTAGAGATCTCTATGTCAGGGCGTGACAGCTTTATCTTGGCCAGGTCGCAGTTGTAAATGAGAACTTGTTCTCAACTGGCTTACCTGGTAAATAAAGGTGAAATAAAAATAAAAAATACAATTGCTAGTAGTAAGGGGAAGCAATTTTATCACGTGCATCGGTCAGTAAAGGAAGAGGTGAGGAGTATGGGATGTAGGAGAGAGGAAGTTGTGTGGAGTAGACTACGGTTTGGGCACACAGGTTTGAATGACACATTGTGGATGATAGGGAGACATGAAACAGGTCTGTGTGACGACTGTTTAGTGGAGGAAATGGTGGAGCATGTGGTGATATTTTATGAATTTTATGACATAGATAGGGAGAGATTGTATAAAAGGGTTAGAGAGGCTGGACGAGGTTGGGGTTTGGGTGGTGTAGTGGGGGGAGGAAGGGGGAGGGAAGTGGTGTCTATGGCTATATTTCACTTTCTTAGAGGAACAGGACTAATGAAGAGAATTTAATGTAGTTAGGCCGCGACTGGCCTCACACTCCAGTACAGTAGGTGGCGGTGGCGGTTTATTCACCTTGAAAGTTGGATGTGATCCGCCAACACAATCCCAAAGAAGAACAAGACAAGCCAGCACAGGTGTAACACATACTAACGAGGTGACACCAATTGACGTGCCCAACGTGCTAACTTGCTAACGTCCAACCTCGAAATATAAATGGAATAACCAAAGCCTGTAACACATGCAACGATTAGTAATGACCTACATCACACTGTGTCCTGTGAACTTACTTTGAAGTTTTACTTACTAATACTATTTTCCATAGCCGTGGGAAGTAGTTTGGGGGTGGGGGGTGCAGCGATTTGTTTTCTCATTGGAGGGGGGGCTGGACAAATCTTTTTGCCCATGCTGGCTCTGCAGATGGCCATATCTGTCCTCTAATATAGGACTATTAAACTATTAAAGGCACAGTGCACTACTTTTGTAAAAAAAAAATATATATATTCTAAACAATATATATTTTTTATTATGATTTTTCAGGGGGTGCTGCAGCACCCTCAGCACCCCTACTTCCTGCGGCTGTGCTATTTTCCCCCTCAGACATAGATACACCTTTAGGTCTTTACCTGAAAATCTTTGCAATGGGGAGCCAAAGGAGAACCATTACCAAAGGTAAAAGTGCAATATCACTTTCTCCATGGTTGTAATTCAAAATCAAAGGATTTCGCCATGATTACCATACATCACTTTAACAGGGAAAGTAAATATATTTAATGCATTAGAACCTTGTTGTAAATCATGTGTAAATAATGCTTTGTTCATTTCCCTTTCCCTTAAAATAATTGTTTACTGGTGCCATTATGTCTAAGAGTCAATGCTACTTACTCTTACTTTTGACCTTGTCTAAGAATGACTCCTATGTCCAGGGGACAGTTCCCAGCAGTACTATAGCAACCCAGGCATCTGTATGGCCCTTTGGCCTCCTGCTTCCTTCCACATGCACTAATGTCTCTCTCAGTCTACTCACTGCACATTTAACTGCACTGTCAATATAATATTAGCTGCGTGCTCAGCATTTATTGACATAATCAATTTAAATCTTCTGAGAGTAATTGAGGGGGTTTCTCCTGGGTTGAAGACTTTACCTCCGGGCGTTGTTCTGATCCGGAGCGGCCACTCAAACACAGTTGATTATGTTACTCTGTAGTTTGGTTTAGAACACGATTACGGCTTCAGCAAGGTAGTTAAGTTCACGGTAAGTGATTAACTAACTCTTGATAAGGTATCCCTTGATAAGGTATCTCAGTTAATGGCTCTTGATAAGCTATCTCTTGACTGAAATACGCTACAGTTTGCTTACTCTATAGCACAACGCAGGTAAGTGATAAATAAAAACCTTACTTTACATGGGAGACACTACCTGGAATAGTAGGATTCTATGGGAGATGAACGCAGTCTATGACGTGTCTATGGGGTATGGTTACACTGGTGCTGTTACATGCAGTACATGGTGCTGCAGATTAGAGGCAGACCCACTCTTGCATGCAGGTTTACAGTAAGCATTGGGTCTTGTGTCTGTGCCCTGTCCCTGCAATAACTGCAATTATCGCTTATTGCCCCGATCATTGACTAACAGTGAAATTAATCTCCTTCTGAAGGATATACAGTTCAATTAGTTTCCCCTTAGTGCTTCACAGATGTGTACAGTATCAACACCATGATTGGTTTACTCTGAAGCGCCTCTAGACCTCCTCTACTGGTGAGTCAGGGTCAGACTTGGACCAGAAATCAGCCCTGGCGTTTCTAACACACTGGCCGATTTTCCTTGAGGCCCCGACACTCGCCCATTTTCCCCTTCAGTCCCCCATTATTAGCTAAATAATGATAATTTAAAACAAATAAAAAATAAAACAGGGCCACTGGGCTAAAGATGGACCAGGGTCATTCCATCTGAAAAAACACAAGAAAGAGGATTTCGACGCCCACCATCTCAGATTGTTCTGAAATTGTTTATGTTGTTAGAAACAGATAGGATTAGCATTCCTGCAACATTATTTTGTTGAAATATAATTTCTGAGAAATTAAGCAAATTGATTGCACCCTAATTTTTGGCACTTAATTTTTTTAAACAACGAGTTAGACATAAGGAATACAAAGAAATTATCAAAAGCCACCTACAGACCCCCCACAACCACGCCAATCCCACACAAACACTGAGTATATAGTATAAGTTCTCTATGTATGACAAGTAGTATGAAGCGGCTCAGAACATTGTTTCTTCATCCTGTGAAATGTATGTCATGTTTTTTCCCCCTTTAGAGAAATTATGAATTGAAGTTGTTAGGTTATATCCTACATTCTGATATGACCAGGTTCTGACCACTAGATGATGCTGTTCCAGGTGATTTTCTTCATCCTTGAACTCCAGACAATGGCACCAAATTGATCTGATTATTTGAAGGTACAAGTTAATTGAATTGAATGACTTGATTAAATGTCTCCCGTAAAATAATGCTGTTTTACTGGATGTGTAGCCTAGTTCCCTGTGTTCCCTCCCACTCCTGCCCGACAGACAATGTGCTGTGTTCACCATACACTTCTGCTGCAGTCACTGGCTCTTAATGGCCTTACACCCATGAATATTAGATAAACTTTCCCTCGCCAGCAGAAAAAGATGATGAGCTGTGATAAAATACATGGTCCGGCCAAGTGCTGACAAAACAACCTATGAAAAACACATAAATCTCCTATATTTTGAGGGGCTATATTGTTGAGCTTGGTCTCTGTAAAAGTAATTGACAATACAAACAAATGGCCACAAAGTGAAAAAATTTTCTAGCCACCTGATGACTAAGTGTGTTTTTGCTCTGCCTAATGACACTGCGGACTCCAGGGCTCTTGGACAACTTCATCATAAGTCCTCTATAGAGATTCCTATGGTTCCTATTGGAGCCTCCCTCCTTATCAGGGGGGGTTGGGGGAGATAAGAGAGAGAAAGAGAAATTAGATAGAGAGGGAGTCACACACATCTGCATCCAAAACCAAGGAAACACCATTTGGTTTTCGCTCCTCTTGTCTTGGAACTTTCTTTCATTTTGACAAGACCTCTTATTCAGGACCACTGAGTGGGATCATTCTTCCAGTGTATCATTGTGCCTGGTCTAGGGAGATAGATGTATGAACAGATGGGAGTTACCTGCAACCACAGGCAGCCCAGAGAGTAGACTGTCTTCAGAGGGCTGGGTGTCTCTCACACGCTAAGGAGACATGGCAGGGGATATTGTGGTGGGGATGCTCTATAACTTAGTTCTACCTCTTCTTCTGCTTGCAGGTAAGTTGACCTTTCTTTTACATTTTATTCTTATGGGGCTGGAAGAATGTACGGTAATAATTCAAGTGTCAGGCACCAATACAGCAGGACTGTGGACGTGTTAGTTATTGAGGTCATAGTAGTGACTTTTACAGTGATATTGAGAGATTCTGCCTTTGTAAAGTGATCAAATAATATTGCTAGAAGCACCATTTTGGATGCTTTACAGAAAACAAAAAAAATTGTTGTTTGGGGGAATATGCAGATTAATCAACTATGTCTTGTTTCCCCTGATGGGAATTATTTGAGTGGACACAGAAACGTTGTAATATTGTGATCATGCAGTAATTGAGTAAGTTGTACTGTAAAACTGTAATGGGAAATAAAATATTTTAGTTGTTGAATAGTATGTTTATTGTATTGTAAAATGTAAGACATATTTTACATGTTAAGGTGTCATTACATTCAGTAAGTATTCTAATTTTCTACTTCACAATTAGGTAAAGAAAATCAAGATTTCAAGTAATTTCAATAAGAAAGAAATACAATAATCGTTAAATTATACTTTCCTTTATTTGAGTGTTTTGTATTGGTAAAAGATTAACAAAGTAAAAACTATGATACCTGATTTTGTTGTCAGTTTCATTGCCATTGTTGGTCCAAGAAGCCGCATAATTTTTTTTAGCTAGTTACTTGTTTACTGTGTGATGGAGTTTTGTTCAGTCCAACACTAATGCATTTTGAATTAGCAGGTGCAATGGATCATAGCATTTTATTACCAATGCCTTTTCTCTTTGATGGATAATACTGTAGGCTATTTGTTTCTAGCAGCTCTCTTTCAACTCTATTTATTTTGATTTTCAGAAGGATGGACTCAACATAATGAAAAATCTCATAAAATACAGCATCAAAGACAAGAAATGAAAATTATACCTCGATATTATATTCAGATTAACATAAATGTAAAATCATTGTTTTCTCTCCGTAGCGTCATCATTCCGTTACAATGGTCTGTCTGTGGTGTATTTCCTTTTCTTACTCACCCTTCCCCTGCTGCCAAACCCCTCTCTCACCTCCATGCAAGGTAAGACTTCAGAGGAACACCACTGGGTTGGAAATGGCACCCCAAGTACAGTAGTAGACGATAAAGAATAGGGTGTATTTTATTCCAAGTTACAAGGTATTTTATTCCAAGTTACAAGGTATTTTATTCCAAGTTACAAGGTATTTTATTCCAAGTTACAAGGTATTTTATTCCAAAGTTACAAGGTATTTTATTCTAAGCTATAATAGTGTTAATCAAGGCCATGACATTTAATGCTGATGATGTTTGACTTCAGCCATGGAATGTGGGAACTGACGACCACTGATGACCTGTGTGTGTGTGTGTGTGTGTGTGTGTGATTCATCAACTCATATTGATCAACATACAACATGTCCATTCTATTTTATATTGATCAGTAAAGTTGATGAATTAAAGGACTGGTCATGTACTTTGTAAAGGGATATGGCCGATATGGTCTTATCTATTATGTATAACCTACTAATTACATAGTGGAATTAAAAGTTGTGGTGTCAGCTTTTGTAAGATGGTTTTGTTGCATGCTGGACTGTTTGCTCTTTTCTCTTCGAATCCTCATAGAACCTTATCCATCTCTTCGTCTCGCTAATATGATATCACCCCTGGCTTGAGTGGCCGGGGGATGGTGCAGAGATGAAACACATCATACTGAAGCAGAATTGACCGGCCTTTACTTGGGAGGGCAGAAATGAGGAAAAGCTTTTAGTAAAAACCTGGGCATCAGACAACCATTTGCTGGCTCAGCTTATGCTGCACCATTCCACCAGGCCTTGTTTTCACTCCTATTTCTTAATTATGGCGTTCAGCCTCTTTTTAATTCCCCTGCTGTCTTACTGCTCTGTTTCTGTTATTGGCGTGTAGCTGTAGATGAAATGTAAACATTTCAAGAATACTGCCTTACTACAGAAAATACATACATATTTCACAGCGCATCAGGAATATTTGCCTTCATTGATATGGTATCTATTCAATATACACACAAACTGAAACCAACTGTGTTTCTTAAAGGAAAATACCACTCAAAAAATTATATTTTGGTATTTGTTTCATTAAACCATTGTTGATATAGTCCCAAAATATTTTGCATGTCAGCAATCAAGTTTTCAAGATATATAGCTTTCAAAATACAGAAAGTGTCACATTATGTGTTTTGTATCATATGATGCAAAATGCCAGTGATGGAAAAAGTACTCATTGTCATACTTGAGTAAAAGTAAAAAGTAAAATTAAATGCTATATATCAAATTCCTTATATTACGCACACCAGAGGGCATGATTTTCTTGTTTTTAAAATGTATGGACAGCCAGAGGTACACTTCAACACTCAGACATCATTTAGAAATGCAGTATTTTTGTTTAGTGAGTCTGCCAGATCTGAGGCAGTTGGGATGATAACATGTTATATGGATATTTGTGTGAATTGGGCCATATTGGTGTCCTGCCTGAGCATTCGAAACGTAACAAATATTTTGGGGTGTAAGGCAAAATGTATGGGAGTAAAAAGTACATATTTTCTTTAAGAATGTAGTGGAGTAAAAGTAAAAGTTGTTAAAAGTATAAATAGTAAAGTAAAGTACTACAAAAAACGACTTAGTTACTTTACACTACATCAAAACGCATGATACTGTGTCACTTGCTGTATTTTTGAAAGTTCTATAGGCTATCTTGAAAACATGATTGCTGACAGGCAAAAATAAATTGGGACTGTATCAACAGTGGACTAATGAAAGGAATACCAAAAGATCGTTTTGAGTGGTATTTTCCTTTAAGTACAAGTGTTTTCTTTTTGATTGCGTTTGTCCTGCTGTTCAGGCGAATCCAGTTCCATGTTGGCTACTTTAGTAGACGATTGATCACAGAAACTGCTTGTAAGACACAAAGGGCTCTATTTTCAGCTGGCGCTTAGGAGGCGGAAGTGTCAAAAGCAGGTTAGTTTGCAATTTCGTCATGTAAAAACTGGCGCACTGGCATTTTCCACCCCTTATGCCAGGCAATTTACCTGTCTAACATTAGCTCACTTAACCTGAGGTGGGAGGGGTGGCAATATTTGAGGTTCCTTAAAAACAACCACAAACGTGGCATTTTCATGCAGCGCTAAAGGGAAGTTTTAAGACCCGCCCAAAAGCAGGTCTTAACAGTAACGCAGTTGCTAATGGCATGGATTTTGAGAACAGAAGCGAAGCCTATCCTGCCGGGATGCACTGTGCCCTTGGAATGAGAGATGTGCCTTTTGTGCCGTGAATCTGGTATTTAAAAAACATAAAGAAACGATTGGTTTCCCCCCATTTCATTTAATTTCATTAAAAACCAAGCATAGCCTACCCTCCCGGTAATCAAAGCTGGTTAACAGCTTGGCATATGTGCGTCTTTTTATGCTGGCCATGCATTAGCCAAGTAGCCTATAAATAAAGGGGTTTTAAATGGTCTACTGAGGGGGCCTTGAAATATTTTGGAGTTTTTTTGTCCTCAGGCTTTTTTATGCTTCACAATTCACATACCTGCATACTTCATTTCGCTAGTTAAATTAGACAATCCATCCCCATTTTCAAAAAGCACCTCTCCAAAGACGCGCTCCTCCAAACTATTCAGTCATCCAATAATGCCATATCAACAGCAGATTTTTTTGAGAATGTGCCTCGCACATAGGCAATGAATGATACAATTGACAGAAGCCTAGTATTTTGGTTAAACATGCCTGTGCACACAGTGCCATGGAACAAGAGATGCAATTTATAATATCATGCTTCTGACCCCATCCTATTTAGAAATATTGTTGTTGTTCCAAAAAAATGATCGCTTGTTTTTCGTTTATTAAAAACCAAGCATCTCCTCCCCTCAATGAAGGCTATGTTTTTTTTGTCCTGCCCAACGCATTCGCCAAATAGCAGCCTATCAATAAACGGATTGGCTCATGAGACTGCTTGAAATAAATATGAATCACCAAAGCTTTATTAAAAGATCAAGTTTGGGAGGAGCAAAACAGTGAGTGGACATCCCCTCTTTATCATAATTTTAGCAAGCACCCTATATTTTTTGGGACAAAAAAAAACTCCATGTTGTCCATATGCCCATCATGAAACGAGACATGAGATGATGCCGGTGACCCTCATATTTAGAAGTAAAAGTGGCTTGTGCGAGCCAGAGTCATACTTAGAAACATTTATGTTATTTTCCTGTAACATGTTCTTGTTTTCCATTTCCTTCGATTAAAAACCAAACTAGAATATATATTTACATATTGAAGCCATGCACAGCTCACTATCTGTAAGTACAGACAAATGGGATCTGCATTGCCACAGTAGACTCCACCACTATCCTCAGCCATTAAGATAGGGGGAAATGGAGTAGAAAAAAAGCCACAAAAAGTAACAGCCTAATTACATGTAGTGGTCCCCCTATGGATGACAACACAAAACAGAGTGGCTGATCTGAATGCCTTGTATGTGTCTTCGAGGTGTTGGAAGGAAGAAATAGGTTTTGTTTCTCACAAAAATGGCAAATATATTCTATTCTACCTCTGTTAATCTGTGTCTCTGGTCTTGTATTTCTGAAGGAAAAACAGGGACGTTCCTGCTGCTCATCTGTTCTACCAGCGTGACGTTTCTGGCTCTCCAGTGTTTCATGCAGATCACTTTTGCCTACGTACCTCAGTATGGTAAGATAACATAATAATAATAATAATAATAATAATAATAATCAATAAATAATAATAATATAATAACACCAGCCTCTATCAGCTCACTGAGCCACTAACAACAGACTACTCAGAGGTGCTGCTGAACACCACCTAAAATAGAGGCAGAAGTAGTTTGTTTTAGCATTTCAATACATGGAGAGTATAATGAACGTATTACTTACTCATTCAATTAACATTTGATGAGGGTGGATGTTGCTTTGGCATTTTGCTGATAAGACTAGACTTGATTTCTATCTGAAATATTTGTGTTGTTCAACAGAGAACGAATATTGGGAAAATGTTCTCTACCATCTGGGCATTGTACGGTAGGGCCACATTTTCTTTACTTTTTTAAAGCAGACTTTGGTGTTGTTTCTAATGCAGGTGTTGTTCATCAGATTGTCTTGTGTTATGTCCCCAGGTTCAGTTTGGTGGATGCAGGGGACATTTTGCGTCTCTTAGCCCCTGATCTGGGTCTCTTCCTGTCTGGGCTCTTCATACTCTGCCTGGTCAGGAAGCTGCTACGCCCCGCGCCCCAACTTAATGTCCACGAGAACTGTATCAAACCCTCTGACCCTGAGGTATCCACATGGCCAATTTCATCTGCCACTTTTGTTCAATTCACAGTATAGTTTTACCATTATTGTTTTACATGAGCGCTTTAGAAATGTACATCAAACATGGCGAGATGTTCTAAAGGATTTGAAGAATGTGAAGGTGGGGTGCCTCACCTTCTCATGCAGTATGTCAGCACCTCTATTCTAGTGGTTTGAGCATGGACCTCCTTCAGGTTGAATCTGTTATAAAGCAAAATAGAGTTATGAAACACACCAACTTCTTGTCCATCAAACTTGTGCTCTTTCGACAAAGCAGAATGTGGAGATGTCCGACTCAGAGTCTGAAGATGGGAGTGATGTCACAGATGGCTCGTCCTATGACAGCTCAGATGAAATCACAGCGGCGCCAGCAACCCCTCCTCAGTTTGTCCAGAAGTTCATTGCATTTGCCCTTGGACTGCGCCTCTTGCTGTCTGCCATCATGAACACAGCAGGGAAAGTAGTGGTCACCATACTACTGGGGTTGGCAGGTACATCTCAGAAGGCTGTCACTTTGGACTCTCATGTACTAGTCTTGCGTGCCAGACTTAAAGTCTTGCATTGGCTCAGCATTCTCCGCTGTCTAGCTCAGCCAAAATAAGACACATTTACTATCTGCTCCCGCACACTACTATAATCTTCTCCTTTCTGGTCCTCTTCCCTCTGTACCAGGCATTGCCATGCCCTCCCTGACCTCGGCGGTGTATTTCGGGACGTTCCTGGGCCTGGTGTGGTGGTGGGTGTTACTCCGTTCCCTCAGTTTGCTGTTCTTCAGTACCCTCTGTGTGATGATGGCTATATTCAGCGCCGGTCACCTGCTGAGCCTCTACCTGTACCAGCTGCCCCTGGCCCAACAGATCGTACCTCCACAGGACATCTACGCCAGGTAGGGTCACAGGACCAGGATGTAGCAACGCTGGACACTGGCTGGACGCTGACTGTACAGATACACACTGTCCTTTTAACGATATTGGTTTGCCAGCTGAAATACAGCCACTGAAAAACGGATTGAATTTATTAATACTTGTCGAAATACAAAATAATTACACACTCTATTACACTGGACACAGACATATACAACATAATTACACACTCTATTACACTGGACACAGACATACACAAATCATTGTTAAATGTCATAAACTGATACATGCCCATCTTCAAATTTCAGTATAGACTTGATCTATCTACTGTGAATGTTGATTAAGTTCTGGGTCCATATGTGTTAAGAGAAGAGATCGGAACCGGAACGAAGAGCGAGCAAGTCTATGGGCCAAATGTCCCCTCCCCTTCCGGAATTTGAAGGATGCTAACACCTGGGAAATCGTGATTTGTCTGAAGCACTGGAACTAATCCTGCTCGTTATCTCACACATCCTGATGTATCATGACAGATCTACGGTACCATTTATGTTTACGTAGTCTGTCCCAAGAGATTAATCACCCTCTGGTTTTGTTCAGGCTGTTTGGTATGACAGCGTTCATCTGGACCAATGAGACGGAGCCATACAGTCTGGGTCTGCAGGCAGATGTCAGCTGGCCTGTCTTCACCAACCCCATTGTGCTGCTGCTCCTCTATTACACAATGGTGGCTCTGCTGCACAAGTGGGTCTACATCACTGAAGAAGAGGTACTTTACCTAGACTGAGACTCTAACGCAACTAAGACCTTAATAGTAAATGGCTGCGTCTGAAATGTAACCCTATTCCCTATATAGTGCACTACTGGATATGGGGTAGGGCTCTTTATAGTGAATAGGGTGCCATGTCAGACGCAACCGATGACTTGTGGGTTAAATAAAACTGTGGGTTTATCCTTTATTGGAAGTGTTAATTGTGTGTCAGTTATTTCATGGTGCTGTCTGTGTATTTCTGCAAGGATACTCTGGTGAAGTCTGAGAGTCCAGTAGAAATCCCTGAGAATCCCCACAGCTTCTCCAATATCTTATTCATCTCAGGAGACAGACTGGAGGTGTTGAAATCTACTACAGTTCTATTTTTCTTCTACAGCTATCACAATCTAGCCTCCTGTAGTTTTACCATCATGATTTTCTACAGATTTCTTGAACAATTATCTTTCTTTCTCTTTTGCAGCTACTGACCAGTACGGATGATGAAATTTATATGCCAGATGAGGAGATGCAGGAGGTACATTCTGCTCTCCCAATGTGTTGTTGTTATAACTACCTTAAAGGGACTTTACATGTCTGGTTAGATACTGTACATTTGGTGCGCATCACTTTTCTTCAAAGCCAAAATTCCTAATGAACTGTTTTTCCTCTGCAGCCAATGGTCTTACTGATGAGCAGCTCATGGCATGATCTGAGAGGACAGGAGGTGGGGTCACTGCTCGGAGGGCCAGGGGTAGGGTATACAAACTGCTGGCCTCCACCACAATATGAAGAAATAGACTTGTCACCCTCACAAGGTATGTACCTGCAAGCCTTGTCAATGTCCAAGTCAAATATACTCCAAGGTCTATTATTTGGTAGCATTACCAAAATGTTAGGTTCTAGACGAATGGTTTAACTTATGGGAAGTCTTTTTTATATCCACCTGGATATTTTGATCTTACTCAGTCATGACTAAATGGTAGGAATTTAATATTGAATACATTTTCATCACTAGTATAGAAACTGATACAACACAGCCTTAAAATATGACAATTATATGGTATAGAAACTTTCCTAAACTCCATTTTCTGCTGTTTTCCTCTCTCAGACTCGGAGGAGGTTAAAGAGAGTAGTGAGGAAGAGAAGGAGAGGAGGAGTGAGATGTCTATGAGGGAGAGGAGGAGTGCGGTGTCTATGAACGAGGAGAGGAGTGAGGTGTCTATGAACGAGGAGAGGAGTGAGGTGTCTATGAACGAGGAGAGGAGTGAGGTGTCTATGAACGAGGAGAGGAGTGAGGTGTCTATGAACGAGGAGAGGAGTGAGGTGTCTATGAACGAGGAGAGGAGTGAGGTGTCTATGAACGAGGAGAGGAGTGAGGTGTCTATGAACGAGGAGAGGAGTGAGGTGTCTATGAGGGAGAGGAGGAGTGCGGTGTCTATGAACGAGGAGAGGAGTGAGGTGTCTATGAACGAGGAGAGGAGTGAGGTGTCTATGAGCGAGGGGAGGAGTGAGGTGTCTATGAACGAGGAGAGGAGTGAGGTGTCTATGAGCGAGGAAGATAATGTGCCCACCCCTCCTGGCCCCAGTGGACTGGCTGTGTTTGGCCTGTTCATCATGAAGCACAGCTATGTCAGCGCACTCATCATCATGATGGTAAACCACTTTATTTCTATGACGGTATTAAAGTTTTGGTGTAGACATTAGTAATTGAACAATTAACTCCCTGAAAAAAAATCATTTCAAAGTCAAACTGAATTGAAATAAATGACCTTTACATTACCTTGCAATCTTTGAACATAAACGTGGGTATGACTATAAGATGTGTGGCGTGCCTCCTGTGTTCCTTCAACCCCTCAGGTGTGGAGCATCACCTATAACAGCTGGCTGACGTTCGCCCTGCTGGTGTGGTCGTGTGTGATCTGGATGATGCGTGACCGTCGGCGCTACGCCATGATGAGCGCTCCCTTCCTGGCGGTGTACGGCACCTTGCTGTTGCTGCTCGCCTTCCTAAGCGGCCTGAGGCTGCGGCAGGACGAGCTGTACCCTGGCCTGCCACATGCCGTGCTGGTGGACTTTGACATGGCCACGTACCCAGCACCCTGCATCCACCTGGGAGGCAAGGTGTTCTACGCCTTCAGCTTCTGGCTACTGTTCCGCCAACAACTGAAGGAGAAACAGGAAGAGCAGGATCTCAAGGAGTCTGACGAGTCTCTGGATGAAGTGAAAGTACTCCCACGTATGTTCTCCTTTCTTTATATGCATACTTTATGGCTTTACATTGATAAAGTCACATTCTCTAATACAGTTACAATGATCAAATGCATTAGAAATGGAAATGTTATTGTACCCAGGTGTTTATAACATGTTTCACTTAACAGTGCCCTCTAAGCCATAGGTGTTTGAACCTTGACCCAGGTATGGTGACATGTTCTACATTGTGTTCCTCCTCTCCCTCAGCGGATGAAGGTGAAACCTCCCCCATAATGGAGATGCTGGGTTCAGCGGTCAAAGGAACCCTGGTGAAGTACTGGATCCTGTTCTGCTGCTACATGTTCTTTGTGGTCAGCTTCTCTGGGAAGGTGATGGTCTACAAGATCCTCTACATCGTGCTGTTCCTATTCTGTGTTGCCCTCTACCAGGTGGGCCTCATATATATGACTCCTAGATTGTGTTGTAGTGGCTATCAGTGGTGCTGTGTATGCTGCACATGATATACAATGTACAATACAACTTTACTGTCCATGTCACAGTGAACAACGGAAATTACTTAACTCCCCCAGATAGCACACATCTCAGGGTGGCAGGTAGGCTAGCGGTTAAGATCATTGGGCCAGTAACCGAAATGTCGAATCCCTGAGCCGACTAGGTGAAAAATCTGTCGATGTGCCTTTGAGCAAGGAACTTAACCCTAATTGCTCCTGTATGTCGCTCTTGATAAAAATCACACATACGAGACGCTATTAACAGTATGATGTTATTCAGAAGGGAAGGAAATTTGGTTTTTACTCGGTGAAAGATAAGATTATGTCATTCAATAGCCATGTTAGTGGGTGGACCAAAAGATGAATCTCAGACCCTGACTATGTAAATATCTTATCACTGACCTCACTATTGGTATGACACATTTACCGCCCGGCCTTGCAGCCAAGACCTCAACAACAGCCCAAGGCTCTAAACTCTTATCAATAGAGCTCCCGTTATGAATATTGATCCTACCTCGTAAACACAGACAAAAAAAACATTTCTGCTGCCGTTTTCCTGGTTTCCCTTCCCTTCCCCTCTGTAGCTCAATTGGTAGAGCATGGCGCTTGTAACGCCAGGGTAGTGGGTTCGATCCCCGGGACCACCCATACGTAAAAATGTATGCGCACATGACTGTAAGTCGCTTTGGATAAAAGCGTCTGCTAAATGACATATTATTATATTATTATTAGATTATCTTGTATTTCCGCTGATCTTTTAGCACTGACCACTTACAGTAGCCTAATGGCCTAGCTACGACCTCACAGCACACATACTGTAAGAAAGCCAATATGAACCTCTTGTTTATCAGTGCTAGCAGCGCTGTTGATTCACATACAGTGAGGGAAAAAAAGTATTTGATCCCCTGCTGATTTTGTACGTTTGCCCACTGACAAAGACATGATCAGTCTATAATTTTAATGGTAGGTTTATTTGAACAGTGAGAGACAGAATAACAACAAATTAAAACGCATGTCAAAAATGTTATACATTTATTTGCATTTTAATGAGGGAAATAAGTATTTGACCCCCTCTCAATCAGAAAGATTTCTGGCTCCCAGGTGTCTTTTATACAGGTAACGAGCTGAGATTAGGAGCACACTCTTAAAGGGAGTGCTCCTAATCTCAGCTTGTTACCTGTATAAAAGACACCTGTCCACAGAAGCAATCAATCAATCAGATTCCAAACTCTCCACCATAGCCAAGACCAAAGAGCTCTCCAAGGATGTCAGGGACAACATTGTAGACCTACACAAGGCTGGAATGGTCTACAAGACCATCGCCAAGCAGCTTGGTGAGAAGGTGACAACAGTTGGTGCGATTATTCGCAAATGGAAGAAACACAAAATAACTGTCAATCTCCCTCGGCCTGGGGCTCCATGCAAGATCTCAGCTCGTGGAGTTGCAATGATCATGAGAACGGTGAGGAATCAGCCCAGAACTACACGGGAGGATCTTGTCAATGATCTCAAGGCAGCTGGGACCATAGTCACCAAGAAAACATTTGGTAACACACTACGCCGTGAAGGACTGAAATCCTGCAGCGCCCACAAGGTCCCCCTGCTCAAGAAAGCACATATACATGCCCGTCTGAAGTTTGACAATGAACATCTGAATGATTCAGAGGAGAACTGGGTGAAAGTGTTGTCGTCAGATGAGACCAAAATGGAGCTCTTTGGCATCAACTAAACTCGCCGTGTTTGGAGGAGGAGGAATGCTGCCTATGACCCCAAGAACACCATCCCCACCATCAAACATGGAGGTGGAAACATTATGCACAAAAACAGCAATTTAGTAAAAGATGTAGGTATTATTATGGAAATAAATTGTGAATGTGAAATTAATATTTGAAGACAGTGATGATAGATGGGTGTGAAAAGGCAACTTGTTTTGTGGTCGCCTGTTGTCATATGACCGAGGGAAATCAGAGGGTTCGGTTGATCTTTATAAAATAACGTATTTTCAATGTTAATATTGCTCCCTATAGATCAACCGATCCCTCTGATTTCCCTCAGTTACTAGGCACATTTCATAGTGATTTGACCTGATTAGCATCATGGCATCTATGTTACCGTTCCTCAGATCCGTTGTGACGTGTGGAGGCGAGTACTGAAGTACTTCTGGGCGGTGGTGGTAGGCTACTCCATGATGGTCCTGATTGCCATCTACATGTACCAGTTCAAGACCGTCTCTGGCCTCTTCAGACAGATCATGGGCATGTCTGAGGAAGGGTGAGTGTGCATGGTGGCACTGTGGCCAACCCTGTACATTCACAATGCTGCGTATGCCTCCGTATTGTTGTAGTTGTCCCAAGACTTTGACGTACTACAGTGTTAATTGATTCATTCATTCATTCATTGGCCCGAAATTCCTCATATCTTGTACCCTATGTCTAGAAGTCTCCCTGATGATGCATGGTTAAGGAACATTTGAACTTCACAGTGTCTTTGCATACTGTGACTAAGTTATTCTTATACAGATGTAGTAGGATCTTAATTTGATCACTCTTTTGTTGCTGAGAATCTTCCTGCACAGCAGGAAATGCAAACTTGTAGTGTACTTTAGTTTTAAAATGGCTTCTTAAGTTTGTCATTTCCACTTTGAAATGTCAGACTTGAAATGTTAAGAAAAATGTATCAACCCCTACAAAAAGTGTCCATTCATTATAATCCACATAATAATTCACATTTCCTGTTGCGGCAGGATTATTTTCCTGCTGTAGCAAACTGGCTCAAATTAAGATCCTACATCTGTACACTCAGTGCTGTCGCTGTCCCGCTCTGTCCTCTAGTCTGCGTGATCTCGGGTTGGAGCAGTATGATACTGTGGAGCTGTTTGCTCGGATCCTCCTCCCTGCAGCCTTCCTATTGGCCTGCATCCTGCAGCTTCACTACTTCAACCAGGACTTCCTGGATCTCACCAACCTGGACAACGTACCTGTCCACCACGGACAAACCAGGTGGAACAGCTAACCTGATCGCAACCACTGGGATAATGTGCTTTATATCAGGGAGGAGGGAACTGTTAGTCCATTAAAGTGTTCCTTTCATGTCAACTGGTCTTTTTAGAGACATAATACATTTTCTTCATTAAAAAAAGATGCACAATGGCGTTATCAGTATCATCTCCAGAGCAGTGGACGCTGCTCATAATAATGTCTGGAACGGCACGAATGGAATGGCATCAAACCATGTGTTTGATGTATTTGATACCATTCCACCTATGCGGGTCCAGCCATTACCACGAGCCCGTCCTCCCCAGTTAAGATGCCACCAACCTCCTGTGCTGCAGAGAGATATTGAAAATATAAGGATCTGATTGGTCCAAATCATGAGTTTAATATTTGCTGGGGTGTTCTTTCCTTTTTTTGTGGAAAAACAAGCTGTCTGTCGTTCTCCCCCCATCTCTATGTTGTTGTGTCTCATCCATTCTGTCCATCTCTTCACCTAGAGAGGAAGAGCTGAGGAACTCAGTCAATGTGATAGCTGACATGTAAGAGCTGCTTTTTTTGTCTCCATGAATGGCATGCTTCACACAGTGGTTTGGTGTTATAGTCATCTTAAACAACCTTAGTTACGCAAAATTCAAAGTAAGGAGTGTAAAAATATGTTAATCTCATGTTATGATAATATGTTGGCATTATTATACAGAGAAAGCAGCCACCATTTTGAGTGTGCAGATATATCATTTCATTCCATCAGTCCGTCATCAATTCTGAGTAATTTAAATGAAATCTTTTTCAGATAATTTCATGGAATGTTAGCATTTTTGCCACTGTAAGTGCAATGTTTAACTGATGTTTATTTTTCCTCAGAATTAAAGAAAACATTGAAAAGTTACAGAAACGGTACATTCTTAATACACTTTCTTCCTTTACATGGATGAAAAAAGACCATGTATTGCATCTTATATAATGTTATTATACAGTATAAGGTATTAAAATGACTAAATCCATGATGGACTTGCCTACCCTCTTTCTGCTAGGATGGCGAAGGAGCAGAGTGAGCAGATGAATGGGGAGTCAGAACGTGTGGGGAGTCAGGACACCTTGGACAGTGATGGACTGTCTGCCTCATCAGAGAAACCGGAGGAGGAGCAGAAGGGAACAGGTGTGTGCCACTGAGACTCTGAGATTCAGATTCTAATTTATTGTATGAAAGTACATTTTTAACAGCACATAGACAATACAAACAAATATGCCACATAAACAAAACAGTCTGTGAAATCTAGCACAGCATATCAGATCTTATATCTGAGTCTGATGTCCTTGTTGTGTCCGATAGGTCCCCCAGAGGAGTATCTGACCCAATGGGGGTTGATAGTGGACCGGGCCAGCCTGCTGCTGTTCCAGACTCTGGTTGCGTTCCAGCGGGCTCAGGAGATGGGCTGGAGGCTGCTGGAGGTTCACAGCCTCAAGATTGTTTCCACCGGCATCATCTGGGTGTCCCTACAAGAGGTCAGATGTCTTTACGTGACGCTGGAACTCCACATTCTCATTGTACCTTGACCCCATTTATAGTACCTTTTATATTGCATTACTGCATTTACACTGCCCTGATTTTACCACATAATATGTTATGCAGTGTAGGGGGTCTGCATAAAGCATTTGTTTTCCTTCTTTTTACTTTGTGCCCCAGGTGTCCCTGATGAACTTCCTGTTCCTGGTTCTGTGGACCTTCGCCCTGCCCTTCCCCCGGCTCCGTCCCATCGCCTCCAGTGTGTCCTCAGTCTGGGCCTGTGTCATGGTGGTGTGTAAGATGCTGTACCAGCTCAAGGTCATCAAACCTCTGGAGTACTCCTCCAACTGCACTGCTGTGAGTTCACTTACCGCTAGCATGCAAAACACTGACCAAATATTCACTAATTATTCCACAGGCATAGCAATATATACTCAGTAATGGTTGGCTCCCAAGGGGATTATGTCATGTTTTAGAGACAATAGACTGTGTGTGTGTGTGTAGTGTGACTGTGTGTGTGACTGTGTGTGTGTGTGTGTGTGTTTGTATGTGTGTGTGTGTGTGTGTGTGTGTGTGTGTGTGCATGCGTACGTGTGACTATCTACATTTACAGTAGTATGTGTCTCTGTGTGTCAGAGCCTGGTGTCAGCTAACGGGACAGGGCTGGAGCTGGAGGGGAACATGGCAGAGCTGCTGAGGAGGTCTGTGCTGTATGTGAAGCCTGTTGACCCAGCCACATGGTGTGGAGCGCTGCGCAAGTGTGAAGACAGGATCCTGCCCTGTCTCAGGGTTAGACAAGCTTCTTACTCAGTGTCTGTGGTCATTTAGTAATATCGACGTCATTTGTCAATCATGCCATGCACTATATAACCATGAAATTAATTGAAAGAGAGATTTTGAGATATATGCATATTAATAACAGATGAATGCATATTGGTAAATACGGCACATATAAATGAATATCCTCTCTATTATTAGTGTGGTAGCTTCATTGATCTGTGGTTCTATGGTTCTGTAGTCTGAGTGTTCTTTGGTTGTGTTTGTCTTTGATGTCAGAACCACCTGATGGTGCTGGGGCTGCTGGTGTTTGAGGTGACGGTCCATAGACACCAGCTCTACTATCGCCTCCGCAACAACCTCAAGGTCCCCACCTTCAGCATCATCTTCCAGGGCATCACACGCCAGCACCTGGACCACGGCATCCTGCCCTGCATCAAATACTTCATCAACTACTTCTTCTACAAGTTTGGCCTGGAGGTACAGTAGCTACAACCGATTATTAGGGCTGCAATAGCCTCTTTTACTGTAGACTTCCATTTGAGATTTGTAGTGTTTTAATTTTAGTACAGTTTCGGAAGTTATCTATAGTTATCTATATGTTTTCATTTTTGTCGTTTCATCATGTCCTCCTGTCCCTCAGGTGTGCTTTGTGGTGGCGGTGAATGTGATTGGCCAGCGGATGGATTTCTACGCGCTTCTGCACTCCTGTGCTCTGATGGCCGTTCTGTCACGACGACGCAGGAAAGCCATGGGGGAGGTGTGGCCTAAGTACTGCTGCTTCACTGCAAGCCTCATGGTGCTGCAGTACCTACTCTGTATCGGCATCCCTCCCGCTCTCTGTGTCGGTAAGGAGAGATATCTGGAGATAAGCCAGTAAGCAAAATGCAAAATGACGCTGACAAAATGACGCTGACATCACGTGCATTTCAGGTGCTGAATGAAAGGTTAGAACATGTATTTTCTGGATGTTGAAAATACGTCTTATAAGAACGTAAAAAATAAGTTGTAAATGGATGTTGAAAAGGCATCTTTTCAGGTGTCTTTTCAGGACATTGAAAATATGTATTTTCCGGACATCATAGAGACATCTTATTGGGACGTTGAAAATACGTCTTATGGGGCCTCCTGAGTGGCGCAGCAGTCTAAGGCACGGCATCGCAGTGTTGCGGCGTCACTACAGTCTGGGGTTTGATCCCAGGCTGTGTCACAACCGGCCGTGACCGGGAGTCCCATAGGGCGGCGCACAATTGGCCCAGCGTCGTCCGGGTTAGGGGAGGGTTTGGCCGGGGGGGGCTTTACTTGGTTCATCGCGCTCTAGCGACTCCTTGTGGCGGGCCGGGTGCCTGCAAGCTGACGTCGGTCGTCAGTTGAACGGTGTTTCCTCCGACACGTTGGTGCAGCTGGCTTCCAGGTTAAGCGAGCAGATGTTAAGAAGCGCGGCTTGGCGGGTCATGTTTCGGGGGACGCATGACTCGACCTTCGCCTCTCCCGAGCCCGTTGGGGAGTTGCAGCGATGAGACAAGATCGTAATGGGATCGCAATTAGATATCACGAAAAGGGAATACAATTACTAAAAAATAAATAGAAATACGTCTTAAACGGACATTGAAAATATGTATTTTTCAGTCATTGATTCTTTGGATAAATGTCAACTGCACATACATTCTCAATGAAGTAAGCATTATGTCACAATAATATAGGAAAGACAAGCCAAAAGAAGATTGCAACAGATTATTTATTATTACTCCCATTTGTCACATGCACTTATGTTAGCTTTTTCAAAAGCTTTAAAACTAGCAGCGATGATGTTCAAATTAGTCCAATTTACAGAATGAACCAACAGAACACTTCAACTATAATAACATTCTCAGTAACGGTTACAGATTTTTTTATTTTCTTGCTTTGACTGTGATATGTTGTAGCTTATCTACCTTAGTTGAATGCTCTGACTGTCAGTCACATCTGCTGAATGACCAAAATGTAAATGTAAAGACAAACACTTGCAAAGCATGCTGAGTATTATTCTAATGAGCTCCGCCCCCAAACAAGTACAAATTGGTCGGTGCAGAGCAAAGGAAAAGGGAAAGGGGGATACCTAGTCAGTTGTACATCTGAATGCATTCAACTGAAATGTGTCTTCCACATTTAACCCAACCCCTCAGATCCAAATCTGAATGAATCATAGACGTCTTGGCTATATTTCACAAGTTTGAACATCACATTACAGTATGGCAGTTTAGTACAGTAGAGTATGGTACGATACAGGACAGTCACGTTTTATTCAGTAGGGTACAGTACAGTAGAGTTTAGTTCAGTAGAATACATTAGAGTAAAGTAGGGTACAATACAGTACACTGTACTTTACTGCACTCTACTGTGCTGTACTTTACTCTACTTTTCTTTACTGGGCTGTGAACTGTAATGTACTGTACTTTGCTGTGCTCTACTGTACTGTACTGTGCTGTCCAAACTTGTGAAACATAGATGTCTGTGATTGGTTCAGATTTGGTCCGGTGCGGGCCGGACCAAATATAGGCCGGACCGGACGTCTGTGGACGTTGAAATCAAGGCTGGTCCAGACCGGACCAAATCTGAACCAAACATAGACATCCAAAAGACTTTACCGTCGGTAAATGCTTAATGGGAAGTGTAGGCCTATACCCGTTCACTACAGTACTTCCCACAAATCTAAAAGCAAGATCAGTGGAATTCTGGGTTAGTTTAAGGAGATTCCACCATATTGCTTAGGCTACCAGTCATGATGTTTCACGGTCATGGCTGCCATCCCATTTCTGACACCAGTGTCGCGAATGACAAATCCTGGTCGTGGAGTGAAAAGCAAGCACCCTACTGGATCAATCATATATGTCTATATTTGGGCCAAATCAAGGCCATTCCGGACCGGAACAAATCTGAACCAAATATAGACGTCCATGATTGGTTCAGATTTGATCCGGTCCAGACAGGACCAAATATCAACGTCTGTAGACGTTGAAATCAAGGCCGGTCCGGGCCGCACCAAAGAAATACCTATAAAATCCACAGTCTCATATTTTCTGACTCTGTTGGTTTGTCACTCTGTTGGTTGGTCCGGATAGGACCAAAAAAAGACGTCCAAATGGCATCGCCTGACGGTAAATGCTTAGTGGGAACCGTCTTCTACACCATAGTTGAAGTGTGATTAGGATTTGAGTGACACGATTGCATACTACATAGGCCTTATACCAGAGTAACTTTCAGGGCCCGTATATACAAAGTGTCTTAGAGTAGGAGTGCTGATATAGGATCTGTCCATACAATCTTATTCATTATGATCTAAAAGACAAAACCTATCCTAGATCAGCACTCCTACTCTGAGACTCTTTGTGGAACAACAATATAAATGCAACATGCAACAATTTCAAAGATTTTACTGAGTTATAGTTCAGTCAATTGAAATAAATAAATTAGGCTACAATCTATGGATTTCACATGACTGGGAATACAGATATGCATCTGTTGGTCACAGATACCTTAAGAAAAAGGTAGGGGTGCGGATCAGAAAACCAGTCAGTATCTGGTGTGACCACCATTTGCCTCATCGCCTTCGCATAGAGTTGATCAGGCTGTTGATTGTGACCTGTGGAATGTTGTCCCCCTCCTCTTCAATGGCTGTGCGAAGTAGCTGGATATTGGCTTGAACTGGAACATGCTGTCGTACACATCGACCCAGAGCATCCCAAACATGCTCAATGGGTGACATGTCTGGTGAGTTTGCAGGCGATGGAAGACATTTTCAGCTTGCAGGAATTGTGTACAGATTCTTGCGACATGGGGTCGTGCATTATCATGCTGAAACATGAGGTGATGGCGGCGGATGAATGGCACGACAATGAGCCTCAGGATCTCGTCACGGTATCTCTGTGCATAAAAATTGCCATTGATAAAATTCAATTGTGTTCGTTATCCGTAGTTTATGCCTGCCCATATCATAATCGCACCACCACCATAATCCCACCACCACCAAAGTTGACATCAGCAAACCGCTCGCCCACACGACGCCATACAGATAGTCTGTGGTTGTGAGGCCAGTTGGACGTACTGCCAAATTCTCTAAAACGACATTGGGAGGCGGCTTATGGTAGAGAAATTAACATTACATTCTCTGGCAACAGCTCTGGTGGACATTCCTGCAGTCAGCATGCCAATTGCACGCTCCCTCAAAACTTGAGACATCTGTGGCATTTTGTTGTGTGACAAAACTGCACATTTTAGAGTGGCCTTTTATTGTCCCCAGCACAAGGTGCACCTGTGTAATGATCATGCTGTTTAATCAGCATCTTGATATGCCACACATGTCAGGTGGATGGATTATTTTGGCAAAAGAGAAATGCTCACTAACAGGGATGTAAACAAATTTGTTCCCAACATTTTAGAGAAATAAGCTTTTTGTGCATATGGAACATTTCTGTGATCTTTTACTTCAGCTCTTGAAACATTGGACCAACACTTGACATGTTGCGTTTATATATTTTTTCAGTGTAACTTCTCAATCTTCTCTTCTCTCTGTCAGATTATCCATGGAGGACCTCCAGTCAGGCTTTGACCTCCAACCTCATCAAGTGGCTTTACTTGCCGGACTTTGCCATGCGTCCCGCCCCTTTCTTCATCCTCTGTGAGTCTGTTTGTCTTCATCCCAGCCATTACCAAATTCAACAATTCTGTGGAAATCTCACATTGGCATTCATTCTTGGTTTATGTGAAAGTAAGAGTTACATGCATATCTCAAGGATTCAGGACATTGTCTACTATATATAGTGTGTACAGTTGTGGTCAAAAGTTTTGAGAATCACAAAGTCTGCTGCCTCAGTTTTGATGATGGCAATTTGCATATACTCCAGAATGTCATGAAGAGTGATCAGATGAATTGCAATTAATTGCAAAGTCCCTCTTTGCTATGAAAATTAACTTAATCCCAAAAAAATATTTCCACTGCATTTCAGCCCTGCCACAAAAGGGTCAGCTGCCATCATGTCAGTGATTCTCTCGTTAACACAGGTGAGAGTGTTGACGAGGACAAGGCTGGAGATCACTCTGTCATGCTGATTGAGCTAGAATAACAGACTGGAAGCTTTAAAAGGAGGGTGGTGCTTGAAATCATTGTCTTCCTCTGTTAACCATGGTTACCTGCAAGGAAACACGTGCCGTCATTGCTTTGCACAAAAAGGGCTTCACAGGCAAGGATATTGCTGCTAGTAAGATTGTACCTAAATCAACCATTTATCGGATCATCAAGAACTTCAAGGAGAGAGGTTCAATTGTTGTGAAGAAGGCGTCAGGGCGCCCAAGAAAGTCCAGCAAGCGCCAGGACCGTCTCCTGAAGTTGATTCAGCTGCGGGATCGCGGCACCACCAGTGCAGAGCTTGCTCAGGAATGGCAGCAGGCAGGTGCGAGTGCATCTGCACGCACAGTGAGGCGAATACTTTTGGAGGATGGCCTGGTGTCAAGAAGGGCAGCAAAGAAGCCACGTCTCTCCAGGAACAACATCAGGGACAGACTGATATTCTGCAAAAGGTACAGGGATTGGACTGCTGAGGACTGGGGTAAAGTCATTTTCTCTGATGAATCCCCTTTCCGATTGTTTGGGGCATCTGGAAAACACCTTGTCCGGAGAAGACAAGGTGAGCGCTACCATCAGTCCTGTGTCATGCCAACAGTAAAGCATCCTGAGACCATTCATGTATGGGGTTGCTTCTCAGCCAAGGGAGTGGGCTCACTCACAATTTTGTCTAAGAACACAGCCATGAATAAAGAATGGTACTAACACATCCTCCGAGAGTAACTTCTCCCAACCATCCAAGAACAGTTTGGTGACGACCAATGCCTTTTCCAGCATGATGGAGCACCTTGCCATAAGGCAAAAGTGATAACTAAGTGGCTCGGGGAACAAAACATTGACATTTTGGGTCCATGGCCAGGAAACTCCCAAGACCTTAATCCCATTGAGAACTTGTGGTCGATCCTCAAGAGGCGGGTGGACAAACAAAACCCCACAAATTCTGACAAACTCCAAGCATTGATTATGGAAGAATGGGCTGCCATCAGTCAGGATGTGAACCAGAAGTTAATTGATAGCATGCCAGGGCGGATTGCAGAGGTCTTGAAAAAGAAGGGTCAACACTGCAAATATTGACTCTTTGCATAAACTTAATGTAATTGTCAATAAAAGCCTTTGACACTTATGGAATGCTTGTAATTATACTTCAGTATACCATAGTAACATCTGACAAAAATATCTCATAACACTGAAGCAGCGAACTTTGTGAAGACCAATACTTGTGTCATTCTCAAAAAAATTTGACCACGACTGTACTGTAAATCCCTTCATACACCATTAATCTGTAACTCCTACATAAGTGATCAAGGCAGCCATTTTGTTTTTCTGTGTGTCCAGATGACCACCTCCTGCTGCTGTGCTCCACGCTGCAGTGGCAGGTGTTTGAGGAGGAGAACCGTGCCGCCGTGCGCCTCATGGCAGGGGAGAACGTGGAGATCAGCCGCAGCCTGGACCCGCGCTCCTTCAACCAATACATTCCCGTCAACAACTTCCTCCACTGCAGGTCAGAGGGTTTTCTTAGCTAGCGTGGGCTTTAGACAACTGCTTTATCGTTTTCGTGAAACGTGGCCTGATTAGGAAAACGTACATTTTACAACTAGGGTTTTTTCCAGTTAGGTCACATGGTCTGGAACAAATCCTGGAACCACTCATATGGTAATATGGATATGAATGTGTCTCTCCTTACCTCAGGTCCTACCTGGACATCGCCAAGGTTTTTGTGTTCAGCTACTTCTTCTGGCTAGTGTTGTGCCTCATCTTCATCACGGGCACCACCCGCATCAACATCTTCTGCCTGGGCTACCTTGTAGCCTGCTTCTACTTCATGCTGTTCGGGGGCAGCCTGCTCATGCAGCCCGTACGAAACATCCTCAGGCTCTGGGACTGCCTCATCGGATACACTTGCTTCGTCATCGGCATGAAGAACCTGCTATCTGTACGTTAGCTAACTAATTACTAACTGTCTAGGCTAGCCTATCCTCGTTGCTGAAAGTGTTTTTTTTTCATTCATGTACTGTATTATGCATAGCGTACCACGTACTATGCTAATAACTCAGTCGGTTTGAATCACTCGTCAATGATAACTGCCAGTTCTGTGTTAGTGCCTCACAAACTGACTCTCACCGTCTCAAGTCAAGTCTTCTCTCTCCTCTGTGCTATCTGTCTTGCTGTATGTGTCCACAGCTTGGCTCATGTGCTTATCTGGACAGCCTGTTGAAGAATGGCTGCTGGCTCATTCAGGCCTTCAGCATGGTCTGTACAATCGAAGGCTATGATGTCTGTAAGTGTGACTGATAATACCCATTAACACACTGTGTGTGTGTGTGTGTGTGTGTGTGCGTGCGTGCGTTGTTGTGCATGTGTGTAGCCTGTTCTATTTGTGTCTGTATGTGTTTAGCTACGTGCACTCCTGTGTGTGTGTGCTTTCATATGTGTGTGTATGTGCGTTTTCTCAGTTGTATATATGTGTGTGTGTTCCCAGCTGCTCCTGATGATGAGTGTGAGCTGCCGGAGGGGGAGGCGGGCATTGTGTGGGATGCGATCTGCTTCACCGTGCTCCTGGCTCAGAGAAGGGTTTTCCTCAGCTACTACTTCCTGTATGTGGTGTCTGACCTCAGGGCCTCCAAGATCCTGGCCTCCAGGTTAATAATCATCATCATCATCATCATCATCATTTAGTTACTGACCACTTCCCTATCAATGATTTTAGATGATTTTAGAATACTTTGGTACTATTGAAAATAGTCATGTTTATCTATTGAATGGTACCAGCTGAAAGTATGACTTCATAGGTTGTTTGTCTCTCATATTTCAAGGGGTGCTGAGCTCTTTGAAGCCAAAGTGAAGAAACTGGTTGCTGCCAGACTGGAGATGGAGAGGAAGTCTGTGGAGACGCTGAAGAAGCAGTAAGACTTATGCAACAGCAGTTTGTTTGTTCTCATTTCGTTTTCAGTCTAATGGGTTTGCTATTGTTGTATTGTTTGAATTCACTGTGTTGATTCCTTCCTCTAGGATGGAGAAGATCAAATCCAAACATAAGAGTAAGCCTGGCCAGGGAGACGCAGCAGCGCCCCCTATTGATAAAGTGCCAAAAGGTGAGCATCATGGAGCAAGCTAATGGAAGTTGTCCATAACCACTGACGGAGGGTCAGTTCTTAAACGTATACTCTTTGATCGGATCTTTGTATTTACCCCTACTAGAGTTGGTGGTAAGATAGTCTGATCCTAGATCTGTGGTTAGGGGCAACGTACAGTACCAGTCAAAAGTTTGGAGACACCTACTCATTCAAGGGTTTTTCTTTATTTTTACTATTTTCTACATTGTAGAATAATAGTGAAGACATCAAAACTATGAAATAACACATATGGAATCATGTAGTAACCAGAAAAGTGTTAAACAAATCAAAATATATTTTAGATTTTAGATTCTTCAAAGTAGCCACCCTTTGCCATGATGACAGCTTTGCACACTCTTGGCATTCTCTCAACCAGCTTCACCTGGAATGCTTTTTCAACAGTCTTGAAGGAGTTCCCACATATGCTGAGCACTTGTTGGCTGCTTTTCCTTCACTCTGCGGTCCAACTCATCCCAAACCATCTCAATTGGGTTGAGGTCGGGTGATGTGGCCAGGTCATCTGATGCAGCATTCCATCACTCTCCTTCTTGGTCAAATAGCCCTCACACAGCCTGGAGGTGTGTTGGGTCATTGTCCTGTTGAAAAACAAATGATAATCCCACTAAGCTCAAATCAGATGGGATGGCGTATCACTGCAGAATGCTGTGGTAGCCATGCTGGTTAAGTGTGCCTTGAATTCTAAATAAATCACAGACAGTGTCACCAGCAAAGCACCCCCACAGCATCACACCTCCTCCTCCATGCTTCACGGTGGGAACCACACATGCGGAGATCATCCGTTCACCTACTCTGCGTCTCACAAAGACACAGCGGTTGGAACCAAAAATCTCCAATTTGGACTCATCAGACCAAAGGACAGATTTCCACCGGTCTAATGTCCATTGCTCGTGTTTCTTGGCCCAAGCAAGTCTCTTCTTCTTATTGGTGGCCTTTAGTAGTGGGTTCTTTGCAGCAATTCGACCATGAAGGCCTGATTCACATGCAGTCTCCTCTGAACAGTTGATGTTGAGATGTGTCTGTTACTTGAACTCTGAAGCATTTATTTGGGCTGCAATTTCTGAGGCTGGTAACTCTAATGAACTTATCCTCTGCAGCAGAGAATAAGTGTAGCTCAGTTGGTAGAGCATGACGCTTGCAACGCCAAAGTTGTGGGTTCGATTCCCACGGGGGACCAGTATGAAAAAATGTATGCACTCACTAACTGCAAGTCGCTCTGGATAAGAGCGTCTGCTAAATGACTAAAAAGTTTTTCCTGTGGCGGTCCTCATGAGAGCCAGTTTCATCATAGCGCTTGATGGTTTTTGCGACTGACCTTCATGTCATAAAGTAATAATGGACTGTCATTTCATTGGTCTTTCACCAAATAGGGCTATCTTCTGTATACCACCCCTACCTTGTCACAACACAACTGATTGGCTCAAACGCATTATGAAGGAAAGAAATTCCACAAGTTAACTTTTAATTAGGCACACCTGTTTATTGAAATGCATTCCAGGTGACTACCTCATGAAGCTGGTTGAGAGAATGCCAAGAGTGTGCAAAGCTGTCATCAAGGCAAAGGGTGGCTACTTTGAAGAATCTCAAATATAAAATATATTTTGATTTGTTTAACACTTTTTTGGTTACTACATGATTCCATATGTGTTATTTCATAGTTTTGATGTCTTCACTACTATTCTACAATGTAGAAAATAGTAAAAATAAAGAAAAACCCTTGAATGAGTAGGTGTGTCCAAACTTTTGACTGGTACTGTATATCTCGAGCTTTAATAATGGATTAAATAGAACTACAGTATTAAAAGTACTCAAATCGCTTTACATTTGAAGATGGTGGGAGACTCAACTCATCATGATCATTATTCTTGTCATTCTCACTGAATGAAAGGATACATGTATGATGGAGGGATGAATGGGTGAATATGTTTTCCAGGTGAGAGTGAGAAGGCAGAGAATGATCAGGGGAAATGGTGGAAACCATGGGTCTCACGGCCTGGCGGTAAGTGTTCCATAAACCTAACTAACATGATTTCCAATTTGGTCAGTTACAGAAATAACCTTAAATGGGGAAATGGGGGGATATGGTTTAAAAAGATAAACAACGTGCTTGACTCCACCTTATTAGATCAGGTGCTGAATCCTCGTATATAATGGGATATGATTTCATTTAATCTCATCATAAATAGTCACTTTTTGATTCAAGTAATTTAAACCATTTATATACTGCAATAGTATAAAGTAGGATGTATAAGTAGGAGTTTGTCTTTGTTGTTTGACACTTCTGTCGTTTTCCCTCAGTTGAGAACAACTGTGGCTACCATCTTTTTGAGAGTGACAGTGAAGAGGAAGAGGAGGAAGTCCAGGAAAATAAACAGGAAGAGGCTCCACCAAAGAAGAAATCTGCTTTTCAGGCAAGGGGCATAAAAGACAAACTACAAAGAGTAGTAAAATTGTATTTGTGTATGTTGTTGAATGTGATGTCAAACTGTGTGCCTCCTTTCTCCACAGTTAGCCTATGAGGCATGGGTCACAAGCTCCAAAGCAGCCCTGAATCTGCACAAAAAAGAAGAGAAGAAGATGAAAAAAGAGGAGAAGAGGAGGGCAAAGAGAGAGCTGCAGAGACAGCAAGGTAAGAGGGGCTCGTTTGCATGGGACTGTTTGCATAATGTTGTCATAGAGACAGAATAACTAATGTATTATTTTGTGTCTTTGTCTGATCCAAGGCATTGAGAGGGCCGAGTCTCATCAGGACGAGTTGGAGGTGGAAGAGAGAGATGAAGAGGAGGAGAAAGGTAAACATTCCACCTCTACAGACCCTTCGTGGATATACAGTAGAATAACTCTAGAAGTCCTTGTACTGCTTCTAACTTGATAGGTTTCTAACGATTCTGTCCTCTCACAGAAAACACATTTCAGAGGATCATCGACACACTCAAGTTTTTATGGGTGTTTATCCTGTCCCTTTTGGATGACGTCACTGAGGGCCTTAACTCGTTCTGCAAAGATAACCAGGACATCTCCAAAGTGCTGCGCTTTGAGAGGGCTCTTCTAGGCCAGCAACAGAAAAAGGTGTAGAAACATTCATCCACTCTACCTCTCCATGATGATTTTCATTAATTGCAGGGAATCCTTCATTTGACTTCACTCAATTGAACTCTGTTTTAATTATGTCCTGCCTGCAGTGATGATAATACTAAAATACACAATCTTTTCCCCTGTTCCTTCTACAGGGGAAAGAGGTGTCACAGGAGAGTGTGAAGCGCTTCTATGAGAACTGGATGTCTAGGCAGAACACTCTGGCCTCGCTGGAAGACCAAGATGACATAGTTCTCCCCGTCTCCTCCCCACCACCTGTACCCTCATCACCGCGAGGTTACTCAAAGCTCAAACACGCCCACTCCAAAATCTCCTGGGGCAGCAGCTTGTCCAGGTCTGCATTGATGTAACACCTACATAGTCATGATTAGTTTATTCATGAAATTAATTTATATTCCATAAGTAGACTGCATTTATTATACATAACTGATTACTTTTAAATTAATGATGGAGTAGTATTTTCTAATATTATGTTATTCTGTATTATAACCTCTGTATGGAGGCTTTATGAATGGCCTCATATGTCCAGGATGGTCATCATGTATCCCTGTCATCATGTCTTAGCTGCATGACGGATGAGACCCTGCTTGGGTCTCGAGAGCCCACTCTGGATGAGCTGGATGTCCCTCCTGTACTCCAGCCAGCTGCCGAGCAACTCAGACGGAAACTACTGAAAACTGCCAACCTGGACCTTGGCTCATTTGACAGCGAAGACCCTCCACCAAGGTGATGTTTTTTTGTTGTTGATTTATTAGGATCCCCATTAGCCGACGCCAATGGCGACAGCTAGTCTTACTGTGGTCCAACACAAATCCAGAAAATCACATTGTAGGATTTTTTATGAATTTATTTGCAAATGATGGTGGAAAATAAGTATTTGGTCAATAACAAAAGTTTCTCAATACTTTGTTATATACCCTTTGTTGGCAATGACACAGGTCAAACGTTTTCTGTAAGTCTTCACAAGGTTTTCACACACTGTTGCTGGTATTTTGGCCCATTCCTCCATGCAGATCCCCTCTAGAGCAGTGATGTTTTGGGGCTGTCGCTGGGCAACACAGACTTTCAACTCCCTCCCAAAATGTTCTATGGGGTTGAGATCTGGAGACTGGCTAGGCCACTCCAGGACCTTGAAATGCTTCTTACGAAGCCACTCCTTCGTTGCCCGGGCGGTGTGTTTGGGATCATTGTCATGCTGAAAGACCCAGCCACGTTTAATCTTCAATGCCCTTGCTGATGGAAGGAGGTTTTCACTCAAAATCTCACGATACATGGCCCCATTCATTCTTTCCTTTACACGGATCAGTCGTCCTGGTCCCTTTGCAGAAAAACAGCCCCAAAGCATGATGTTCCCACCCCCATGCTTCACAGTAGGTATGGTGTTCTTTGGATGCAACTCAGCATTCTTTGTCCTCCAAACACGACAAGTTGAGTTTTTACCAAAAAGTTCTATTTTGGTTTCATCTGACCGTATGACATTCTCCCAATCCTCTTCTGGATCATCCAAATGCACTCTAGCAAACTTCAGACGGGCCTGGAGATGTACTGGCTTAAGCAGGGGGACACGTCTGTCACTGCAGGATTTGAGTCCCTGGCGGAGTAGTGTGTTACTGATGGTAGGCTTTGTTACTTTGGTCCCAGCTCTCTGCAGGTCATTCACTAGGTCCCCCCGTGTGGTTCTGGGATTTTTGCTCACCGTTCTTGTGATCATTTTGACCCCACGGGGTGAGATCTTGCGTGGAGCCCCAGATCGAGGGAGATTATCAGTGGTCTTTTATGTCTTCCATTTCCTAATAATTGCTCCCACAGTTGATTTCTTCAAACCAAGCTGCTTACCTATTGCAGATTCAGTCTTCCCAGCCTGGTGCAGGTCTACAATTTTGTTTCTGGTGTCCTTTGACAGCTCTTTAGTCTTGGCCATAGTGGAGTTTGGAGTGTGACTGTTTGAGGTTGTGGACAGGTGTCTTTAATACTGATAACAAGTTCAAACAGGTGCCATTAATACAGGTAACGAGTGGAGGACAGAGGAGCCTCTTAAAGAAGAAGTTACAGGTCTGTGAGAGCCAGAAATCTTGCTTGTTTGTAGGTGACCAAATACTTATTTTCCACCATAATTTGCAAATAAATTCATTAAGAATCCTACAATGTGATTTTCTGGATTTTTTTTCCTCAATTTGTCTGTCATAGTTGACGTGTACCTATGATGAAAATTACAGGCCTCTCTCATCTTTTTAAGTGGGAGAACTTGCACAATTGGTGGCTGACTAAATACTTTTTTTCCCCACTGTAAATGAAATACATTACAGACAAAATACTTTACAATTGACATACATTTAAAAACATTACAATGTAGTGTGTGTGTGCATCTATCAGTTACATATACATGTCAGTACATACACACAACAAGTAGGTCACATGGGGGAGAGGTGTTATGCCGTGAGGTGTTGCTTTATTTCGTTTTTTTAAACCAGGTTTGCTGTTCACTTGTGCCATATAAGATGTAAGGGAGTTCCATGCACTCGTGGCTCAGTATAATACTGTACGTTTCCTTGAATTTGTTCTGGACCTGGGGACTGTGAAAATACCCCTGATGACATGTCTGGTGGGGTAAGTACAGGGGTGTAAAGTACTTAAGTAAAAATACTTTAAAGTACTACTTAAGTAGTTTTTTTGGGTATCTGTACTTTACTTTACTATTTATATTTTTGACTACTTTTACTTTTACTTCACTACATTCCTAAAGAAAATATTGTACTTTTTACTCCGTACATTTTCCCTGACAACCAAAAGTACTCATTACATTTTGAATGCTTAGCAGGACGGGAAAATAGTCAGATTCACGCACTTATCAAGAGAACACGTGGTCAGCCCTACTGCCTCTGGTCTGGCGGACTCACTAACCACAAATGCATCTTTTGTAAATAATGTCTGAGTGTTGGAGTGTGCCCCTGGCTATCAAACATTTTTAAAAAAACAAGACAATTGTGCTGTCTGCTTTGCTAAATAATAGGAATTTAAAATATTTTACTTTTGATACTTAAGTATTTTTTAGCAATTATATTTACTTTGTATATTTAAAACCAAATACTTTTAGACTTTTACTCAAGTAGTATTTTACTGGCTGACTTTCACTTTTACTTGAGTAACTTTCTATTAAGGTATCTATACTTTTACTCATGTATGACAATTGGGTACTTTTTCCACCACTGGGTAAGTGTGTGTGTCAGTGCTGTGTGTAAGTTGACTATGCAAACAATTAGCAATTTCCAACACATTAATGTTTCTTATAAAAACAAGAAGTGACTCAGTCAGTCTTTCCTCAACTCTTAGCCAAGAGAGACTGGCATGCATAGTATTAATACAATGAAGAGTTAAGACGTGCCACTCTGTTCTGGGTCAGCTACAGCTGAACTAGATCTTTCTTTGCACTACTTGACCATATGACTGAACAATAATCAAGATAAGATAAAACTAGAGCCTGCAGAACTTGATTTTGTGGAGTGTGGTGTCAAAAAATCAGAGCATCTCTTTATTACGGACAGACCACTCCCCATCTTTACAACCATTTAATCTATATGTTTTGACCATGACAGTTTACAATCAAAGGTAACACCAAGTACAAGACCAAAGAGCTCTCCAAGGATGTCAGGGACAAGATTGTAGACCTACACAAGGCTGGAATGGGCTACAAGACCATCGCCAAGCAGCTTGGTGAGAAGGTGACAACAGTTGGTGCGATTATTCGTAAATGGAAGAAACACAAAATAACTGTCAATCTCCATCGGCCTGGGGCTCCATGCAAGATCTCACCTCGTGGAGTTGCAATGATCATGAGAACGGTGAGGAATCAGCCCAGAACTACACAGGAGGATCTTGTCAATGATCTCAAGGCAGCTGGGACCATAGTCACCAAGAAAACAATTGGTAACACACTACGCCGTGAAGGACTGAAATCCTGCAGCGCCCGCAAGGTCCCCCTGCTCAAGAAAGCACATATACAGGCCCGTCTGAAGTTTGCCAATGAACATCTGAATGATTCAGAGTAGAACTGGGTGAAAGTGTTGTGGTCAGATGAGACCAAAATCGAGCTCTTTGGCATCAACTCAACTCACCGTGTTTGGAGGAGGAGGAATGCTGCCCATGACCCCAAGAACACCATCCCCACCATCAAACATGGAGGTGCAAACCTGGTGGCCAACTACAAGAAACATCTGACCTCTGTGACTGCCAACAAGGGTTTTGCCACCAAGTACTAAGTCATGTTTTGCAGAGGGGTCAAATACTTATTTCCCTCATTAAAATGCAAATCAATTTATAACATTTTTTACATGTGTTTTTCTGGATTTTTCTGTTGTTATTCTGTCTCTCACTGTTCAAATAAACATACCATTAAAATTATAGACTGATCATGTCTTTGTCAGTGGGCAAATGTACAAAATCAGCAGGGCAGGGATCAAATACTTTTTTCCCTCACTGTAGGAGTGGCTATAGAGTCAGCTACCATCCTCAGTAGCTTTCCATCTAAATTGTCAATGCCAAGAGGTTTGTCATTATTGATCGATAACAATACTTTTTCCACCTCTCCCACACTAACAAAATTAAAACTTGCAATGCTTTTCTTTCATTATTAGTTTTTTTATGCATGAGTATGATGGCTCACTGTTCGTTGTTGGCATTTCCTGCCTAAGTTTGCCCACTTTGCCAATGAAGTAATCATTAAAATAATTGGCAACATCAAATGGTTTTGTGATGAATAAGCCGTCTGATTTGATGAAAGATGGAGTTGAATTTGTCTTTCTGCCCATAATTTCATTTAAAGTACTCCAAAGTTTTTTCCCATCATTCTTTATAGCATTGATCTTGGCTTCATAATAGAGTTTCTTCTTCTTTTTGTTGATTTTAGTCACATAATTTCTCATCTTGCTGTAACTCAGCCAGTCAGATGTGCAGCCAGACATATTAGCCACTCCTTTTGCCTTATCACTTTCAACCGTACAGTTTTTAAATTCCTCATCAATCCATGGAGCCTAAACAGTTCTAACAAGATATAGCCACTATATTGTGATCACTGCATCCAATGGGTACAGATACAGCTTTAGAACAAAGTTCTACAGTATTAGTAAAACTGTGATTAATACATGTGGATGATCTTGTTCATGTAGTGTTTTGAAAACACCCTGGTAGGTTGATTAATAACCTGAACCGGATTACAGGCACTGGTTACAGTGAGAAGCTTCCTCTTGAGCAGACAGCTTGTGTCACGGTTTCGGCCGAGGCTGCCTCTCTTCCTTGTTCGGGCAGGCTTCGGCGTTCGTTGTCTCCGGAATACTAGCTGCCACGTTGCAGTTCTATGTTCGTTTGCTTTTGTCTGTTTTTGTTGACACCGTTCTCGTTTAGGTAATTAGTGCTATAAGTTCTCGTTGTTTTGTCTAGTGTGTGTGATTGATTTATTTCTGTCGTGTGTTGTGCTTGTTATTTACTTATTCGCTCAGTGAGCTTTACTCCACTGTGTTGGAGCGTTTTACGCATGGTTAGTGCGCCTTTTGTTTGTCGCTTCGTAGTAGTTTCGCCCTTTGGGCAAGTTTGTTCGTATTTTCCTGTTGGAATAGCACTAAAGTCTTTGGACTATACTTCGGTGTCCTGCGCTTGATTCCACCACTACACCCACCTACAGCATTCCTGACAGCTTGGTGAAACAGTCAATTCAGGTCTCCAAGAAAGTAGACCTCTTCGTTACATCACATACACTATCAAGCATTTACACATATATTTAGATACTGACTGTTAGCACTTGGTGGCCTATAGCAACACCCCAAAAGAAAAAGCTTTAGATGTGACAGGTGAACCTGCAACCACAACACCTCAATAACACTTGACATAAGATCTTCTCTAAGCATTACAGTGATATGGCTCTGAATATTTACAGCAACAACTCCCCCTCCTGTCTCTTCTATAGATGTTATATATCTGTATTGCTACTACTGTATCATCAAATGAATTATCTAAGTGGTGACCTCACTTATGCACTTATGGTTTTCTCTACTCTGTATACCAGACTTAGTATATATTGTTGCATATCTACTCACTCTCTATACACCTTTATATAAACTCTCCCATCTTCATAATGTCTGACTGCATCTTATTACTTTCTATAATTACATTTTTCAGCAGCCATGACGATACTGTTCCTGATAAGGAGGACAATGAAGGAGAGGATGCGTGTAAAAAGGAGGGGGAGTATACAGTGGAGGAGGAGTATAGAATGGAGAAGAAGGAATGGAGGGAGGAAGAAGAGGAGGAGAGGGAAAAAGCTGTGATGTTTTCAGGATTTATCTCCCTGGACTATCTGGAGTGTGATGAGAAGAGCGAAGATTTCCCAGACTCCCCCCGGCCTCTGAGTGAGACCAGGCACCTCACGGCCAGTGAGCTCCTGCTCAACAAGTCAGTCATGGGAGATTGGGACTTTGTGGTTTTTCTGGTTACAATTGTGGTATAGTCAAGTGGACCCATTCAGTTGTGTCACATTACCTCGTAGTAAATTAAAGTTGAGTATCACACATTTTATTTACACTTCAGGATACTCACGTACTGCGTTTGCCCTCTATTGCAGCATGTTTGATAACGATGAAATTGAAGAGTCTGATAAGTTCTTCCAGTCTCTCCCGAGGCACCTGAGACTGGTGTTTGCCCTGTACAACACCATGGTGTCGAAGTCGGAGATGCTGTGCTACTTTGTGATCATCCTGAACCACATGGTGTCTGCCTCCCTGCTCAGCCTGATCCTGCCCATCCTTATCTTCCTCTGGGCCATGCTGTCTGTGCCACGCCCAACCAAGCGCTTCTGGATGACTGCCATCATCTACACAGAGGTACACACAGCAGGCACCCCCAATGGAGTGATATTTTGATTGGCTGGTTGGTTGGTTGGTTGATTGATTGGTTAGATGGATGGATGGTTGATTGATTGATGATTCCTATCTCTTCCAGCTGATTGTGGTGGTCAAGTATTTTTTCCCAGTTTGGCTTTTTCCCCTGGACTACCTCGGCCTACCGAGGCATCAATGCAGAGCGGCCCTTTGCTCTGCCCAACATCATTGGGGTAGAGAAGAAATATGGCTATGTTCTCTTTGACTTGATACAAATCCTGGCTCTGTTCTTCCATCGCTCCATTCTAAAGGTACTGACGGGAATGGTGGTTTCTGTGTTACAAATATAGAATATACTAAAGCACAACATCTCAATACTTTCTTCTTCTCTCCGTAGTGCCACGGTCTTTGGGATAACAAAGAGGTGGAGATGCCGGACTTCTTCAAGAAGTTGAAGAAGAAGACGGAGAAGATGAAGATGAGTGGAGGAGAAAAAGCAGGGGATCAACCGAAGCGAAGACTACCCTGCCTCCCTCTCCAGGCCTCGACTGCATCCTTGTTTTGCAGATGTGGAAATGCCAACTCCACTGAGAGAGATAGTACATACATTCAGTAGCATAAGCATAAATGTATTTGTTTGAAAGCATGTTGAAGTGGGGTGTTGCCTGGACAGATGTGAAACGTTACCCAACCTGAATATACGAATGTCTCTTGATGTGAATGGGATATTATTGCAGGTGATATGCAGCTCAAAAAGCGCCACTCCAAGAAGAAGAGGCACCACAATAAAGTTCCCCTGACCAGGAAGGAGAGGATTAAAAAGCTGATCAGAGAAAGGATGCTGGAGGCTAAAGCTGCTATCATAGAAGTGTGAGCATTTAGTGCACTATCATGTACTGATATGTATTGTAGGTGTGTTCAATTACATATCTCCAGTGATAAATGGCCGTTTACAAACAAGTCCAGGAAGCAGCACTTTTGACTGGACATGAATGGCATCTTTAAGTACTGGTTTTTGGTTTCAAAATGAATGAATATTTTCAGCCATGGTCGTCTTTTGTCTTCGCAGTGCCCTGCACATATACCTACCCATCAGGCAGTTCTTCTATGACATAATTCACCCAGAGTACAGCCCAGTGTGTGACGTCTACGCTCTCATGTTTCTGATTGACGTGGTCAACTTCATTGTCATCATATTTGGATACTGGGCTTTTGGGGTAAGTGCCTGTTTGAGTCAAAATTGTATTTGGAAAGTTATTAAGCCTACTTGTTTCAAGTGCATTTCTTTCACTGTTTTATTTTTGTGTCGGAACAGAAACACAGTGCTGCTGCTGACATCACAGATGCTCTTGGGGAGGACCAGGTCCCATCGGCCTTCCTGGTCATGCTGCTCATCCAGTTTGGGACCATGATAGTGGACCGCGCTCTGTACCTCCGCAAAACCCTAATGGGAAAATGTGTCTTCCAAGTGGTGCTGGTGTTTGGTATCCACTTTTGGATGTTTTTCATACTCCCTGGGGTGACTGAGAGGTCAGAGTTGATATTTATTAAAGTGTAAATGAACATGTAATAATAAAAAAAGGAGCTGCTTATTGACATGTTTCATTGTCATTCTCTTGTGTTCTAGGAGGTTCAACATGAACCAGGTGGCACAGTTGTGGTACTTTGTGAAGTGCATCTACTTTGGCCTCTCTGCTTATCAGATCAAGTGTGGCTACCCAAATAGTGTGCTGGGAAACTTCCTGACCAAGAACTACAACTACCTCAACCTATTCCTTTTTCAAGGGTACAATCGATGCTCTATGATAGATAAGCAAAGCCAAGTTGAAAAGCAATACACTTCCTTGTAAGGGTCTTAGATAATCCCATAATACCAGTGCATTGGGTTGTCCCTGTCTCCTCCTCAGGTTCCGCCTAGTTCCGTTCCTCATAGAGCTGCGTGCCGTGATGGACTGGGTCTGGACCGACACCACCCTCAGCCTAGGCAGCTGGATCTGTGTCGAGGACATTTATGCCAACATCTTCATACTCAAGTGCTGGAGGGAGTCGGAGAAGGTAACTGGGATGCCCAACTGCCAATAGGCTGGTAACTAATCTCTGTAGAGAGTATATCTGATTGATAGTTGATGTTGAATCACTGTAGAATTAAAGGGGTTTGTCAGTCTTCATGTTCGTTTCATGTCTATGAACACTAGATTGTACTAAGTATTCTTGTATCAAGAACAATTGTGTGTTAAACTTGAACTGATTGAAATTGTGTTGAACTATGAATAATTTATGTCTGTTATTTGTACAGAGATACCCACACACCCCAGGGCAGAAGAAGAAAAATGGTGGTGAAGTATGGCATGGGCGGATTCATCATATTCTTCCTCATCAGCGTCATCTGGTTCCCCCTCCTCTTCATGTCATTGGTCAAGTCAGTGGCTGGAGTGACCAATCAGCCTCTAGATGTCTCTATTCAGCTCAGCATAGCAGGATATGAGGTTTGCGATGGCCCCATCAGCTCACAATCGCTCTATTTTATGTAACGTTTTCTTCTTCTGTGAAACTGTTAGTGCTGGTGTTGTTTTCTGTGTGTGTTTCTCACAGCCACTGTTCACAATGAGTGCCCAGGAGCAGAACCTGGTGCCATACTCAGTGGCAGGCCTCAACCGGCTCACCAACCTCTATGCCACTCACCCGGTAAGAGTGTTCTCCATCTCGCCACAACAAGTTGCAAGTTTGAGGGGCTGTGGAATCGACCCTAAGGACCTCTGACATAATCCTCTCTCTCTCTACATCTCTCTCTCTCGCTACCTCTGTCTCATTCTCTCTCTCTTAGTCAGCCATGCAGTTCCTTGGGAACTACATGGCTGAGGACATTGTCATTGCAAAGATCAAGAGTGATGCCAGTCTGCTGTGGAGCATCAGCCCTGCCAGCCGTGACGCTATGATCCATGAACTCAGCAACTCCACCCATATCTACATCACCCTGCGATGGGTACTACTCAGGTACATACAGTGTAGGAGGATCAGCTACTAACAAGGGTTGGATAGGGCTCTGGATTGGTTATATGTGAACAGGGTGTAACACCATTAACTCAAGGACTGACTTTTTGTAAATGCCAAGACCGTATGATTAGTGCCATAAACATATGCCATATGATACAGCCATAAACAACTAAATGTAACCAGTTAGTGATAGTGGTTGTGATTTCACTCTGTGAGCGTGTACGTGTGCCCCTCCTCCCCAGGAATGTATCTCTGTCGATGAACGTGGAGACCATTGGGGAACACACTGTGAAGTATGAGGACCGTGCCCTGAGGGACCAGATAGTTCAGATGCTCAAAGGGACACGCAGTGACTCTGTGTGAGTCTCATCTTCACAGCACTCTCACTATATCATCAACCGTTATTAGAGTTTACAGCCACAGTCAACATTACATCAATAACATAACCTTAACTCTGAAAGATAATTGTAAAGGAACTTATTACATTCAAAATAACCCCAACTATAAAAGAGATGATCACAATGGTTATTGTATATTGGTGTTGATATGCTCAACAACTGTCATTCATTCTCTCTGATAGGATCATTGAGTCTCTCCTGCCCAAGTTCATCAGAGGTCCCGGAGGACCTGAGTCCAAGATGGCCACCCGTCTGAAAGTAGGTTAGTGACCCTCTATCCAACCATCATACTGTATAGAACTCTCAAATTCAACTCCGGACCTCGTAGGGTAAGAGTTCAATACCCCTGGTATAGAACATCAACATAACAAATGCAGATGCTTGTATAACTATGAATCTTAAAAAGTCACAGTCTCTGCTTGTTTTATTCAAATCTTCCCTGTCCCATCTGTAACACCACAGAACACTCTGATCGGCCTGAGGACCTGCAGACTTTTGCCTTCTTCTGGCCCCTGTCCATCAAACTACAGCGGGCAGAAGACAATGGAAGTGCAGAGGGGGGTCAGTGGTGGATAGTGGAGGAATGCACTCCTGGACAGGGGCTCGTCCAGAGCAGCTGCCACAGCATTGAGATAGTGGTGTTCAATGACAAAGTCAGCCCCGCCAGCCTGGATGCTCTTGCAGGACAGGGGTAGGTTAAAAAACAAAACACTCGCAATGCTTCCCCAGGAGCTATTTACATTTTGAGAGCACTATCCTTTTAACTTGATTTGTTCTCACTGCTAAATAAAGTCTCTTTGCCTTTTTCCATGGAATCCCATATGCTAATGTTGCTTGTCTGGCCTCAACCTTCAACCTGATACCACCTCCTGCACAATTCCACCTTGCGTCGGCAGAATCGTGGGCCTGTACATGTCAGTGGTGCTGGTCGTCGGGAAGTTTGTCAGGGAATTCTTCAACGGGATATCCCGTTCCATTATGTTTGAGGAGCTGCCGTGTGTGGATCGGGTGTTGAAGCTCTGCACGGACATCTTTGTGGTGCGAGAGACTGGCGAGATGGAGCTGGAGGAAACACTGTTTGAGAAGCTCATCTTCCTGTATCGCTCACCGGAGACCATGATCAAGATGACTAGAGAGAAGAGCGACTAGCGAGCACGGTGACATTTGTTATGAAGAGGATGATTTGCTGATATAGGCCGTTGGTTCTTATCTTATCTGGGGTGTATTCATTACTCAGATTCTGTTGCAAAATGTTTGCAACAGAAACCATTTACACCAAACGGAAAGTTTTGTAACGAAAACTAGAGTTTATTGGACAAAATCAGGTAGGTTCCTCCCTGTTTCGTTTACTGTTTAAGAACCAAACAGTTAACATTGCAAGATGTAATGAATACACCCCTGGAGTTGCACTTTTGATTGTATTCCTACTATACAATGTATTAATTTTTTCAGTGACTTTACAACAGAAGACCATAATCAAAAATGTGTCCCTAATGTTAAACAATTTAATTTTAGTCGCAACATTCTGAACATTGTAGATACAAATGTCTTGTATAAAGCTGACAGAAATATATTATGTAGAACAGACGTGTTTCGATCTCAACATTCTGTAACTTTACACACTGAACACGACCCTGTTTCGTTCCACTGAAAAGCTAATCTAAAGTATTAATTCTCATTTCACACTGGTCCATGTACAGTATTTAATTCAATTAATAAAATATTTGAACTACAATGCCAAGTTCAGAGCTTTTAGCTTACTTTTACATATGACCCCTGAAGTGTTAACTTTTTAAGATCCACTCACGGTTCATGTTGCCAGGTAAGGCAGGAATTTAGCAATCTAGCAGACAATTATTTTTAGATAGGAGTTTTATTTCATTTTCTTAATGACAAATTAAATAAAAATCCATTCTGTTAGGTCTTCCGTCTCTCGACAAATCCTGATGTAACCCTTGCGTTGTCATCCATCACAAAGACAAGTTGGCCCGGGACAGTGACAAATCCTCTTGGCCCCGAAGAAAATCCACTACATGATGACGTACTCAGATTCTGCAAGATAAAGAGGAGAGAAAGCGTGTCAAGTTAGACTGATCTTAGAAACTATGGGCTAGTGATGGTAGCTAGCTATTTGTGCTAGTTGCTAAGAACTGCAGATTATCAGAGAGTAATGACCATAGACAATATATCTGATAGAGCTGATATATTGTCCCACTATGTTCATTAAGGTCATAATCTGCAGTGTTCTATATCTATGGTAATGACAAATACTTGACTTGCCTAATAAATCAGACTGATTTATTTGGCAAATACTTGACATGCTTACTTGGCAGCTGCAGTAAGTAGAAACAACAACAAAAATCAGGTGTGATAGCCCACACAGCAAGAGGCAAAATCAAATCACATGTTATTTGCCACATGCGCCGAATACAACAGGTGTAGACTTTACAGTGAAATGCTTACTTGCAAGCCCTTAACCAACAATGCAGTTAAGAAAAATAAGTGTCAAGTTAAAAACTAAAAAATAATTAATGAGCAGCTGTAAAATAAAATAACAGTAGGGAGGCTATATACAGGGGGTACCGGTAGAGTCAATGTGCGGGGGCACAGGTTAGTCAATATTGTGTGATGGTTAGTGGGTGGTAGATTAATTCAATTAGTTTTAAATACTGTAGTGATTTCTGATTTGTCCTGTCAACACTCACATGCTATAGCCTTTGGTACGTAGACTTTGACGCTGGATTCGGCAACCTTCAGTGCCTCGACTTTGAACTGGGGTTTCAGTGCCGCACGCACTGCACTTGCGCAGATCGCAGAGAAGCGAATGTAGCTGCAGAGGACACAAGAGAATCACACTTTAGCCAACAGGCCGAGGATAGCATCTGAATTATACAAACTGCAATGTCATGTGTTCTTAAACCACGATGATACGTATGACAAAGCGTGGTATCACACCAAATAAAACAATTGATATAACTCACGGGAAACACGTTAGCTAGCTTGTCAAGTTCGTTGAACGTGTTAGCATGTCGGCTAGTTAGCCACTAGCTGGATAGTCATATCCATCACACCAGAGCTCTCAAGCAAATATGCAATTTAGTAACTACATCGTTACAATCAGAATACAAGCTAAACGTAATATTGTTAAATATACAATACATTTACCTAAGGCCCGCTTGTCTCCAGTATGCAACCATTTTGCCAGCGATGTTCTGATCAAGGACAACTCCGAAATGTGCGTGATGACGTTGATAGCGTTGACTAGTCTTCTTCTTCTTCGTTGGGATTTGGTTGGTGGATCGCATCCAACTTTTAAGTGCATACACTGCCACCTACTGTACTGGTGTGTGAGGCCATTCACGGCCTACCTACATTAAATTATTTGATAAGGTAATACAAAATTGGGGAAAAGGAAAATTGCCCTGCCAACTATTAGCCCTCTCTAAAAAAACCACCACCCCATTCCACTACTTAATCCTATCTAATCCTACTCCAGACCAATGGTCTGAGAGGACATAACACTACCACTCAACACTCCCTGCAGCTGTTTTGCAGTAAATCCTCTCAATCCCAAGTACTTCTCTGCCGCTGCCACCACAACCTCTATTTTCTGTGACTTTCGATCCATTTCTGCAGTACAATTGAAAACCATGACTATAAACGCTATAAAGCCCACCTTACTGAAACACATATTATTCCCATCACTCTCTCTTGGTCTCTGCCTGCTCACATGAATCCTCTCAGGATCCCTCACCCTGTACCCATCTTCCTCTATCACTCTCTTCACTGCTTCGGCATACAACACTTTCTGTACTATTCTAACCCTGGCAACCTTAATCTGCCTTTTTCTCACCGGACACCTCCGATCTCTAGCCCCATGGGCACCCCCATAACTAACACACATAACTTGCTCCACCAATGGCACACATCTCACATCTAGGCGTCTCCCTCCTACACACTGCTGCAACATGCCCATAAACTTGACACGTAAAACACTGTAGTATTTTCGTAACAAAAGTTATCATGGGATAAATGACACTTCCCTTCCTACCTTGACCTTATCTGGCAAAACTGCATAAAAACTCAGCATAACAGACAATGTCTTCTCCATTTCCCCACCGGATCTATGTCTCACCAAATGGCGGGCATCACCTACACCGTGAATCTTCGATTTCAACTGCTCCTCCTCAACACTTAATGCCACCCCCGTTATCACTCCTTTCAACAGTGCCCTGCTCCGGAGAGCAAAGCAAGTCACAATTATTTTCCCTAATCGCATAATCCGGAGCGCCCACTCCCTCTGGGGTGGAGGAAACACAATAAATCATCACAAGTCCACTCCGAGTTACCTACACCAACTCAACAGTCCCCAACCTCTTCTCCACCCAACCTGACACCACATATGGATCAGCCAAAATTCAAGGATCCATTCTCTCTACAAATCTCACCCCCACTGAGCCAGAATCATCCTCATCATCCTCGGGACGAGGCCCAAACTAGGCGGTCCTCACCGTAGGTACTTCATCCTCACTCTCGTCAGGTTCGATCTCTGAACTACTGGAGCACGTATCCCTCTTTTTGCACTTGACGCCATACTTCCTCACCACACTGCTTCCCTCTACACTCAACTTCTTCTCAGCAGTCATCACTGCACCTGCCACCACAGTTTATTCATCCTCACTCTCATCCAGTGTCGCCAACTTAGCAACTTTGTCGCCATATTTAGCGAGTTTTCACACCCCTCTAGCGACACATTTTCTAAAAAGCGACTAGCGACAAATCTAGCGACTTTTTCTGGTGTTATTGGAGACTTTTGGAGACTCTGATGTGAAAGCATGTATCGTTCTTACACTTCTCAACGAGCTGTGGGTGCTTTGTTACCCCCGTCCCAAAGCACTCACAGGCGGCCCAGTCCTCGCGCAGCAGTCCCTCCCAGCTGCAGTCAGAGCAGGAGATGTTCACCCCTCCGCGTCCAGACACAAATGAATCGTGCATGCGGGAAGCTGCCGCTGGCTGATCCCGCCCTGGCTTACATTCAGGGCGGGATGTAAATGTAGGGTGTTTTTAACTCACTTTTTGTCACTCCCACAACGTTATTCCTCTCTCCTACAGCGTCCATCACAATTATATGCACATGGCCAATTATGCAAATTAGATGATGACGTCATTTAGGGACTTCTAGTGACTTTTAGGACAGCCAATAGCTACTTTCCTTACTGAGGAGTTGGCAACACTGCTCTCGTCACGTTCAATTTCCTCCTCAAGCGCTTCCAAAAGTTCTGTGAGATTCTCCATTCCATATCCACTCAAAACATATCCACTTTTCTCTTTTTTTTTCTCCTTCACCAGATCTTCCAGAAGGCTTGTGCAATCCCCTACTCCATATTTATTCATAACATGTTCCACTTTCTTCCTTTTTTTCTCCTGTCCACCATCTTACCGCGTGTCCCATGAACCAAGGACAGCGTTGACTCTTCTTCTTCTTCTTTGGTATAATGGCGTTCGCAACAACTGGATGTGCATTTCGCCATCTACTGTTCGGGTGGATAATAAAGATCCCAAAAAGGAAATAATGCAGGGTAAAAAGAAAATTCATACAAACTATAGAAAAAAAGAGAGTTAAACTAAACCAAAATCAACCAGCTTTTCTGTTAAAGTCCCAAACTCTAATCAGGACCTTGCACAGGTCCAGAAGGATCCTGTGAGGGCGGGACATTTTCTGGCGACAGTAGTCCTTGCAGTGCTTCTGCTGTGAAGTATTGGAGCCCCAAAAACATTTTATTGGACACTTGTGTAGTACAATTAATAACTGTGGAAATATATGCTACAAAATCTACCTTCTTCACAATGAGTGTATCCAGATCTCTTGATTAATGTAAAACATTTGCAACTGGTTGCGGTGCAATGTGCATCCACCACCATATGTTCTTCAGCACTGTGGCCTCTTGAACCTTCGACTCTCTTCACCATGTACACATAGGAGATCTGCTGTAAAGCCCTGATCCTTGACACCTCAACCTCTTTCACCCTAACAGGGCAAAGAAGTACAACATATGATCCTCACCACAGTTGCAACATTTTCCATTCACAGATTCCACATTAACATACTTGTCTGCAAACATTTCATGTGTGGCCATATCTTATGCAAT